TATCGGAGGGGCACTAAATGAACTCCTTGAGTCTGTGTCCCTTATAGACCCAAAGGAGTGACGCCTCTTTATACTGGGCGACGCACCTGCCAGTATCATTTCGTTATTCTGTGTACTCATGAATGAATAGGTACCGAACGACAAGTATCCTCGGGGACAAACTGTCCACCAGCAGAGATACATGTTCGGTGGTTAAAAGAAGGATATAGAGATAACGAACAGTATACAATCCCAAAGTCCATAAAACAATACAAAATAAGAGCAGAGCAAACACGGACCCCCGAAACATCAGAGGTGGGATCAGGTACCATGGAGGAGTGAGCATTCCCTGCCGACCGGTCACACCCGCCGTATGCTCCTTGTCATGATCAGGAAATAACGGGAAAAATCCGTCGTCAATTCAGTGTATAAATAATGGACTAACAATTAGTATGAAAAACGTCAGTCAGCATTTGACTCAATGATAAACTGTATTTGCTGACAAGGTCATTGTATCGACCATAGAACTTACGAAATGATGACTTTAAACGAGACTGCTGATATTCTTGTTTCGTCAACTTGCTTGTCAATAATTTACCTCGTTTTGGAAATTGTTTCTACGTAGAGCATGCTCTTGCGTATCGAATCAACGGAGATATATATACTCCATATGCAGGTGATGAAGGTATATTGCTGCATAAGTAAAGGAAGTTGACGATAGAAAAGTTAAAGTCATCACGTTTATCATATAGCTTGGTTGTTAGATTATCATTAGTGTCTTTTTCAAGTAAAATATCCAAGTATGAAACAGAAGTGTCGGACTCTGTGGTATTTTTATCTCAAGCTCACCAGGATATTTAAGGAATAATTGTCATATTTTTCGATTTCATGATGTGATCAATCGATTGGCTTGAGTGATAATTTGAATAAACGCCGAAGGCGTTTATGCATAAAATTATTTTATATCGAACAGAGACATTGGAAATGTAAATGTTTAATGATAAATTGTATTTGCTGATAAGGAAAACATATCAGCCATATAACTTGCGAAATGATGACCTTAAACGAAACTGCTGATATTCTTGTTTCAGCAACTTGTTTGTCAATAATTTACCTCCTTAAAAAAATTGCTTATATGTAGGGCATACTCTTTAGAATTGAATCAATTGAGAGATATATAAACTCAGTATTCAGGTGATGAAGGTATATTTAAGGAATGTGTTTAAGTTTTGTGTGCGCTTCATTAAATATACCTACGTGACAAGTCTGTGTGATTCACACACCAATAATTCACACTAAACTTAAAAATATTCCTTATATTTACATTTTGCATGTTTGGAAGCAACTAAAATATACTCAATATTTGAATTTCTCGCTGCCCTATATCGTTGCATTTTTACTAACTTCGCTGCAGCCTCATTGTGATGTCACGTTAACGCATGTTTCTCTGGGTATATTTCTACGCGTGAGTATACACGAAAATGGTATTCAAATCAATTTCACTGTTGGTTTAGTAGAAAAACACAGCGAATGTAAATATTGTTGTACAAGTAAGGGAAGTGGACGATTGAAAAGTTAATGTCATCTCGTTTGTCATAAAGCTTGATTGTTAGATTACCATTAAAGTCTTTTTAAGTAAAATATCCAAATATTTCACAGATGTTTCAGACTCTGTGGTATCTTTTATTTCAAGCTCGCCGGGATAAATCGTATTGACATAAAAGTGGAAGCTACCATTTTTTATTGACAATACGCTGTCATTATATCTAAATGTCGAGTTGAAAGCCACATCAAGTGTTTTCTTTTCGCGCAAAGATTTTGGACAAATTCTGCTGCATATATACAAAAATGGTCTGCTAATAACGGGGTGCAAGTGGTACCCATCCTATAGACTGTTGGAATTTCTGGTCTCCAAAAACCACATACATGTATTAGTAAATGTCAATCGGATTGCATCTGAGTTAGTAGTGTCTCACAATTTTAGACTGAGCAAACCACTAGTTATAAACATATACATGTATCCTCAAAAGTATCTTGAAAGTTAAATTTAGTTTGCAATACTACATCATGCTCATTATATTAAAGAAAAACCTCGGTTCTTGTTTCGAAATCCTGAAAAGGAATTATTCAATTGTTTCATTTGAATAGATAAGGTCAGCCTAATAATTCCTGATTCTCATCTCACGTAAGAGCAAGCTCTACATATGATCAGTTTTTAAACCGAAGTGAGCTACTGATCATGACAGCTAAGATAATGTTACAGGAGTTTTAACAACTTCTTTTTAAGTCAGCATTTCGTTAATTCAAGGCCGCATTATAATGACCTTAAAAATGTTACTTTTTACGTTTCTTTTCAGTCCAGTCGTCCAGATCCATACACACCATTTTGTGCGTGTTTTGTGACAGGGGGTGCTTACTCCTCCTAGCCATCTGATTTAACATTTGAAATGTCCGGAAGTCCTTGTTTTTAAGCTCTGTTTATAGATTTCATTTCTTAAAATCGATCAATATTATTTTTCACCTTTTTGATTACAACTGTTGAAAAGTAAATACAGTAAACAGATGATGAGAAACATATACTGCTTTTAAACGGATATTTTTTGGCGGGGGAAAGTTTACACTGTAATACATGAAACATTCCCAAAGCAAGCGACAAAATGTGGCGCAGACAATTAAATTTTTATACCTTTGATTGCTGTACTTGCATGGGTCTAAAGAACTCTAAATCTTTTGTCAAAATTATCTTAATCAGAGAACTACAATTCATGATCAGCAGCTATACCTTAGTGTGATATAATTAAGTAATCAAAAAGTGGAATAACAGATTTCAAAAGTATTCTCAAAAATCACTGGAACTTTCTTAACGAATGAAGTTGAAATTTGGTGTTAACACTCGTAAGATCATGATTATATTTTTTGACTTAATATATTGAAGAATAGTCATATTACTACTATGGACATCCTATCAAATATAGATTCAAATGTGGTTGATCATGGCCCTGAGATCACATTTGAAGCCACCATAAAAATGCAGTATTGTAGATCAAATTTTTATTGAGAATAAAGGTGAAAATTTTAGAGTTTACTTCATTAACGCATGTCATAAGAGAGATTCTTTTGAATATATTTCGATTTAAGTTCATAATTTAATTACATAACTGTATTTTTGTATTTTTTCTTCACAAAACTAGAGGTACTGTGAGCAATGAGCTCACTAAATGATACCCCCCGCCTCCCATATGAATATAACGGCAGTGTCCATGTTTTGCTCTGGAAAATCAAAAATGCATGTCAGATCAAAAAGTAAAATAGGAGGTGCACAATGGCAATATGTAATTAAGAATCTGTGAAAGTTTCATGAAATTTCCTTCATTGGTATGAGAGGAGTTGCGGATAAGAGAAGGGTACCCCAAAGCGTAACAGACGGACGGACAGACAGACGGAAGGACGGACGGACGGACGGACGGACAGACGTACAGACGGACGTAATTAACGATTACTATATACCCTCCCGCTTTTCAAGCGGGGGGTATAATAAGAGCAAACATTGCCTTCTGCGAAAAGTGTTACATGCAAAAAACTTTGACACTATTTCCAATTTTCATTTTTTCCCCTCGAATTCATAAAAACCTTTAAATAAACGAAGGAATTGATGACAAGTAGGGGATTAATTAAGGCCAAAAACAGGAAACATTTGATGAATCTTTCAGATGATCTTAAATCAATAACATCGAATTTATTTCACAAAAATGTTTTATTCCACCTTGTTTATTCAAATTTAGATGAATAATATACCTGATAATCTTCTTTTTAAAAATAAATCAGTGAAAAATTGACTAGAAGACAATATTTTCTTCCATAGAGTGTAGCTACATTTAAGAAGAGAATTGATTTGTTTGAGTTCCACACCTTTATCGCCATCATCCTCATAAGATTTAATTTTTTTATAGGAAGGTATCATTTAGTTTTCTGTTTGAAATGATATATAACTTTAAAAATTACATCTATAAAATATAGATATTTATAACCGAATATTAAACGCAAATAATGGATCTTTCTGTCGTAAATTCATTTGATGTTATTTGTAGAACCTATATGCGCAACAATTTATTCTCCCCGCTCCATTCCCTCAGCTCCTTGGAAGACGAATTTATACCCAGATAATTATATCACACGATCTGAGGTGTTTAATGTAGAAACTACAACGACAATATCCCTTCCTTATCATTCTGACATTCGAAAAAAAAAGTTAAAAATCAATTCAGGATCGTTTTCTGGATTAAATGTGGCAAGGAAATTAGCAATAAATTAAAAGATGTTTTGACGTGTTCTATTTTATCAAAAAGTGCAGTAAGGTTCATTTCTACAAATTATGGATTTTTTAAGATTACCTCATGATATTTCAATGTCTTCCATTTCATTTTTTATTCTCTGACATTTCTTTGGAGTGTTAATGTTCCTGTATTTGACATTTTTTAGGTTGTTTCCGGGGAAAATTATTAAAACTCATATGTTTCTTTTCTCACGTATCGACGTGTTTCGATATAAAATATGACTCTAGAAGTACACTTGATTCTATAAATTGAATTTTATATGCTGAACAATTATATCGCCCACAACAGTATACTATGAATACTCCTCGGGGTGCTACTGCGGATTTGCAAAATCAAACAATTTACTAGTGCCTCCGCCCTGGTAGTTTTTTTAATACAAAAATAGACTATGGCATCTATGGGTCAAGATCGATCCAAATTATTACATGAGCTTAAATTCATATTAAAAACTAATTCCTCAAAAGCTGATCTTCCACAAAGTCTGTTTGGAATATCAGCATAGAGGATAGCAGTTTAAGGAACAAGGATGTCAATTGATCATCCGCGCGCAATAGGCGGAGCTAAGGAGGTAAGCGGTGATTCTGATAAAATATCGTTTAGTCAATGAATCAATTGATTCTTATCATGACGTCACAGTCTCTACCATATACACATTATAACTCGTTATAAATTGGCATCAAACTTGATTTACTCTCGTAAGAAGACAACCCCTTTACAAGAATAAGACCACTTTCTTTTCTGACATTATCTGCTTTTTTGGACGAAAAAAAAAATACTTCAAAGAATTTTGGAAACCTTTATTTGCTTGGGACAGTTTTAGTTTTCTACATTCAGCATTAGATATGAAATATTCTGTACATTTAATTTTACTTCTTCAGTTCCTACAGATGGTATGGGGTGAGTACATTTATACGTTTCTTCTTAACAATTAATGGATGCAATAATGAGAAGGAAATAATCTGATAATTTAAAGCTGATTCAAATCAATATATTTAAGTGTATTATTCTTCATCATTTGGTTAATCAAGGTGGAATAAAACATTTTTGTAAAATAGTTTCGATGTTACTGATTTTAAATCATCTTAAAAGATTCATAAAGAAGCTAATCCAATGTTTTTTGTTTTGTTTTTTGTTTTGTTTGTTTGTTTTTTGTTTTTTGTTTTTTTTTGGGGTTTTTTTTTTTTTACAAAAAATGACCTTTAAGTTTTATTTCACTTTCCTATTTAAAAGAAAGTTCGTAAAATTTAATTTGTATTACCAAACTTCCAATATGGTATATTTTTGTGATGTGGATTAATACTGATATCTACTAAGTATATAGGAAATTCATGCAAAAATACCTTGCTCTGCTAACAGTTAAATTCATCACTTTCACATTTTTGAAAGATAAACTTTATTTTTATAAATTGTACATGCAATTTGTGGCTGCTGTCACAAACTGGTTCTGTCATTATTTTTAAAGAGAGAAGAAAATGACTGAAACCGATTTCTCGCGTTTGAAATACAAATCAATGTCACGTTATGCGTTTAGGGCATTTTATATCTATTTTAACTAGTTTATCAAAAGAACAAATCCGTTACAGAGGATAAATTTCGAATCCCACTAATTACCTCAAGTTTGATGGAATCAGCGACCACCATGCCTGTCTATAATATCTGATTGCGATTCCAAGCATTCTTATTTTTTACCAATTTCTCAAAATCTTCGTTACTACAAAAATCGGGAAAAACGAACCAAAACTGACATCTTCTTTATCTTTCTAGGAAAGATATTGATGTAGAAGACCATGGTCATGAATTCTTAATCAATTTCTTTGAACAGAATGTGTAAATTTTTATTCAGTTGTGTTCCATGATGAATTTCCATTTGAATGACATGGTCTGAAGATTCACACAATACTATTTTGATATATGGTTTGTATTTCTCCAGAAAATTAATTCTATTTTGGCAACTCGTGCAAAAATATTCTGTCATTTAGTTATCGTCGACTGATAAGTTTTCTAAGTATTTTCTGACTTTGGTTGTGGTTTTGTTCTGAAAGTACTGGAAAATAAAACATTAGCGCCGCACTTTAAAATTCTCCAAGAATCCAGCAATTTATTCTATTCGGGGGTTGTTTTCAATTCATTGAAAAATAAAATAAAACTGTTAGTAGAAATGTATAAAAATCCTTTGCTGTGGAAGATCACCCCGACCTAATTTAATGTTCTTAATTAATGTTCTAAATTACTTTATTTCTAAACAATGAAGTACTAAAATTTTGTAACAGTTTAACACTTTGAAATGTGACACCTGTAGGAAAAGATCATTGAATGCTTTGATATAAATTGTTTTAATAGAGGTATTCTCACGAGCTCAGTTTTCATTTCAAACTCTAAGTATGACAAAAAGAGTAAACACATGTCTAATTAAAACGAAAGGACGGGGATTATTTATGGAAATTAACAAAATCTATGGAAAATTAACTGTCCAAATGAAAATCCATGTTCATCCTTGTTTGCGCTACGCAATTATAATAGAAATTTGATAATATTTACAAATATGAAATTGATTTGAACGCGACCTCTGAATTCGATAACTGCCGTTACATGCATCAACCATTCTGTAGAAGTGCGTGTAATTTATATCTAAATTGTGGTTTCGTCTCTATTTACATGAATCTCTGCCTGATTGAACAAAGCCTCAAATAATCACGATTTCTACATCTTTTAAAAAATAAAGTGACAGCATCATTTAATACACTCTCTTTAATTTTCTACCAAAAGCATCTATTATTTTTAAAATCATTTTCTCGTCCTTTTTCTCGTTAAAATGAAATTTTCATCCCTTTTTATGCTTTCCACATATGAATGCCTATAGTATTTCTTTTGTATTGCTTAATTGTACACACTAATATTCTGTACAGCTCATTTATAAAATGTTGTTTGAAGGTTGATGAGTATCATTAGTTGCAATTTACTATCCTCGGAGCAACAAAGCGAGAACTGAAAACTAGATAGAAACCCCGTGATGATGAATATCAAGAAAGTGTGTTTTTCAACTGAAAATTGCACACTTTTGTTATATTCAGCACATTAAAGAAAACAGTATGTGAACGTTGTATCTCCATTGCTTGACCTCTGCCTCCTCCATCCATTATTTGATTGCGGACGATAATTGACGACACATAAAATGTATTTTTGGAGTTGATTCGATACGAAAGAGCATGCTCTACGTATGTACAATTCCTAAAACGAGGTAAATTATTGACAAACAAGTTGATTTAACAAGACTACCAGCAGTCTCGTTTGAAGTCATCATTTCGTAAGTTCAATGGTCGATACAATGACCTTGTCAGCAAACACAATTTATCATTGAGTCAAATTACTGACGTTTTTCATATTAATTGTTAGTCCATTATTTACACACTGAATTGATGACGGATTTTCCCGTTATTTCAAGATCATGACAATGAGCACACGGCGGGTGTGACCAGTCGGCAGGTGATGCTCTCTCCACCATGGCATCTGATCCCTCCTGTGAACTGCAATTGGAGGTCCGTGTTTGCTCCGCTCCTATTTCGTATTGTTTTGTGGACTTTCGAGCTTGCATACTGTTCGTTATCTCCAGATATTTCATTAAAAAAGACATATCTGTTGTAAATGCATGTACCATGAAATTTTCAGTTGCTCTCGGCTTATTTTTCATTTTCTTTTAATTTTTCCTTATTGATTTTTCGAGTTTTGTTTTCGGAAACTTTGAAATAACAAGCAAATCAATATACTGAATTTTTCATAAAATATTTAGCATGCTATACGTCTGCATCGTATCTCTGTGATTGTAAGAAAATATTTATACTCTAAATGCTGATGAGAAATAAGGAGTACTTGTATAAGTCGCGCAATAAACGTATCCAGGTATGTTGTATATCGATAATCCAATTAATTCAGTATCAAAATAAATGAAAAAGTCTGAAATATCGGATAAATAAGCTAGCATTATGCAAATTGTATGGAAATTTATTACTGGAATTTTATATATCATGACAAGTTTAAGTTTCTGTTTCTTTTTATATTTTTGGTAGGCTTTTGCTAACAAACACACATATCCTCTCGAAGTTAAAGAGTTGCCTTATTAATAAACGCATGCAATTTAAAAGTTTTTTTCCTCCAAGGACTGCTTCTTAGTCACCCCTTTTTAAAAGGCATGTAACATGCTAAGAAGTAATGAAGAAAGGACAACAAGAACTGTCATTTGAAAGTACTTTTGCAAAGCAGAATCAGCGGCTCTGTATGTGAAGGAACTTTCTCAGAAGCACAGTCATGAGAGACTCTTCAAATGTTCAGAAAGATTTGTTTAGAATCAAAGCGCCTGGCTTCTTTGAAGTTCGACCTCTGTCAGGACACGATGATACAGGCTTAGTCGAAGCCTCTCTCATCATATTAAGTCTCTTGTCAATATCAGTCCTGTGAAGTATGTAATTTTGTGCTGTTGGTTGAATAGAATCCTTTTCTTTGTGTAATAGAAATTATAAGCTTTGTTCACTCATTGCTATCTTTGAGTTTCTACCTCTTTGATGCTGTGATAATTGCAATCTCTAGATCTATACTTAAAAGGGCAATGAGCATCATTGTTTTTGTTAACTGTTCTTTCTGCTATAACAATTATTATTATTTGGCGACGAGGTTGAAGAAAAATGGACCTCAAAATAACGTTTTCAAAACAAGAAAGTGAGACATTACGTACAATATGTATCAAAATATATTTCAAAAAACATATCTCTGCCCCATCTTTAATTCGACATAATATTGATAATGTTCATAATTATTGGGAGAAAAAGAAAACCAAATTCTTTGTGCATTAAAGTACAGAAAATATCAAACAAAATATATTGAATTACTTGAGATCGTAATGAACAAGCAAGAAAACACGCCAAAGAAAATGGTATAATGAATTATTTTTTCTGGAAATGGTGTGTGACAGTGCAACAATTAAAAATAATAGTGAAAGTGCCAGTCTGGTGTTCTTTTCATCTAAAACTTTTTCAAAGACTGCGCTAATCGCGATATCGATACCAAAAGATGGGAAGTTATTTGCGCTCGCTTCCGGTTGCGTCATAAAATAGTTCCCGAATCACTGGGAAAATGGCAGCTTTCTACAAAAATACCGCTAATTTGAACACTTACTGTCAAAATTCTATCAGATAAACTGTTAATGATTGGTTTAACCATTTTGTGTCAATTGAAGTTTGATAGCCATAAACAAGGTCAATTAGGAATCAACATTCTCACTGTTGCTCAATTGTAAAACCTAGCTAAAATAATGATTTGAAAATATTAAGATTTACATATTTAAATCTCAGTGTAATTCAATATTAACATTTTAAAGATTGCTTTCATTTTTCGTCTGATTGATACCACAGCCACCGAACGATGCCATTCTTTCCTACTATGAGGTCGATTATTTTTTATGCATGCTTCATGAGTTTTCATTATGTCTTAAACCAAAAAATATATTTAAAGCTTAAACATAATAAATAGATAAAAATATACATGAAAAACGTGTCTTTACAAAAAAAATTGAAGAAATGAAAAAGAAAAATTCGATATATCACCTATTGCGTGACTTTGAGTCATAAAAGAAAAGGTAAACCATATAAAAACATGTCTTCATAACCAGGAAAGAATTTCTTCATAGTATTTATTTTCCTCTTTGGGAAATTTCAACTGATCGAAGATTATGTTTGAAATCCACTTATGAAATTTTACCCGCGCAATAATCTCTTTTCTGCTTCAAGAATTATACAAATAGTAATCTACTGTGAGAGTTTATCAATGCTAATGGAATATCAGATAGATTTTTCATTATCACTGATTATTTTCTCATTTTTCTGTCACTCTGGCCAACGCTTGCAAAGTTTTTTGCTGTTGTACCTAAGAACCATCTTATTTGTTGACAAAAGGCGAGGTAAAAACGTAAATATAATAAATAATCATTTCAAGAAACATACCTGTGCTTGTGTTTTACACTTAACAAAAATGTGCAAGGAATAGAAAATGACATCAAAGACTCTAACGAAAATAAAATAAAAGTTGGTCAATGAATTATTTTAAGTTACTTTGTTGATTTCAAATCACACACCCGAAAGGATTTTGACCGCTATGGCCTATATTTAGAGGGGGTAGGTAAGGATATAGCAACAGCCCTCTGTCGCCATACGTTATTTATTTTCCTCATCTTTGTCGATTAAAGCGGAAATCGAAAGGCGCTTAATTGTGGATCATTATTCTTCTAACTTTTGATCTGTCACTTGCCTAGTTTTAATTACTTGGGCTATAACCATCTCACAAAACATCTCATTTCATTTTTTTTTTTCATTTCGAGCTTAATTTTCATTTCGTTTTGTGGGTGGCTGGGTTTGAAATCCTTAATACTATATATTATAAAGACACACCGGAAGCCGCTGTAAAGTGTCAGGAATCCTGCTTCTATATTGTTTAATTTATTTCTGCTTAATATTATCAGACCAAAAATGAATTTAAAAGTTTGCCAGGGGGAGTTTCTTCAGTAAAAGCACTAATTCTCTTTATCAAAATATTTTTTGTCGAGGAAGGGAGGGGTGTCTCTTTGCTATTCTGCATATGAATCGACAATGCTACCGAAAACTATTCAAACACGATCTCATAAACTGAAAAAAAATCAAAAGTAAATCATTTGCTTAGAAACTAATATAAATTATATTATGCCGACAAACAAGATATTGCTATTTGTCATGAGAATGATACACTGACGTCATAAAAAGACTGACCATTGATTTAAAGCAGCTTATTAGTTATCTATTATCATCACACCGGAAACTGGTTCCGCCATTTTGGAGAACTGAATGGTCGACGTTGCCCGCCTGATAGCAACTGTGACATAAGAAAGTTTTATTGCGTTTTCTTCATTTCCCGAGCAAGTTCACACGACAGCCATTTTATTGACTTTAATTGACGTTAATGTGCTAATTGACGATTTGGAGCCGTTCCGTCACCGCATTACACATTTCAGCTTTGACATCTTCCACTTTCCTTTCGCCAACATTGCGTGACCAAGCATTGCCGAGGCTATAATAAGACCGTTTTTCTCAGTCCTGCATTAGGCATAATGAGAATGAATTGTCTGTTTTATTAGTGGCCACTGAATAATTCCCGCCATCGATAAATTTGTTACAAGTTCATGAAATGTTAAATGTTAGGTATGATTATTTTATTTGAAACTAATTTCTTCGTATTCGGAGGAATGTCAAATTGTATAGGATGCACAGCGGATGCCAAAAGGATTTTAATATCGAAATCACTATACATGTTTGCTTTTCGAATCCGACGACTTCCTATGCATAGTCACATAGTTCTATGGAGGAAACTATAATTTGGGTTTTTCATTGTATGAATTACTAGTATTTCCATGAGCATACTAAAAGTACAATCATTTTGTAACAATGTTAACTTAACCAGGAAATAAAAACAAGAATTTTCAATTAAGGAGCCGTTAAGGAATAAAAAAAGACCTTAAACCAGATTCAATGATTAATTTTATGGGGAGAAAATGCCATTATAATCCGGGGTCTCAGTCAATTAATGTTGGTCTCTCTAATAAAGAAATTCATAAACTAAACGAATAAAGGTGTGGGAAGGCCGGGGTTAGATCTCACCTGTAATTATTTACATAGGCCTCCACCATCCAAGAAATTGTGCAATTTATGATCAATTTCGCCTGCAAGAAAAACACTTAAACAAGTTATTTCTGATAATGCCTCCTGTAATGTTCCAATTTTTCGCTTTGATTTTTCAAATTCTGAAAGATGGAAATGAAAGTCATTTTTAAAGCTTTTCATACATGAAGTGAAAGAACTATCTTCTTAACCATAACAAACTTTGACACCTTAAACTCTAATTAGACTTGTGTAGGTTATGACAATATTTTTTCTTATTTTGGTAATTGCGATTTAGATTTCAAAGCATTTAACCTTTAGTTTACAAAGGTGAATGAACAATAATATTATGTATCTTGAAAGCATGTGAATGACTTATAGACAGTTCTTTTTATCTCTGTCACATCAAAATCCCTGCCCGGCGTGACTGGCAAATAAAGGATTAATAGTTTAACGTATTGTATAGAAAATTGTCTTTATAATCTCATCATAGTCATGAGCGACCATACCATACGATGGTATTCGATTCGAACCCCCGCCATCTTTCTGCCTAATTTCCTCTTTACATCAATAGACGTTCTCATCAAGATAGAGCAATCCCAGCCAAAACGATCTGGTGTTCTTATAAGATAGAATACACATTAGCAATTGTTTAATTTCGTCCAAGTAATTAAGAAACATGGAAAAATAATGAAGATTTCAGTTAAGAGATATTTTCTCAGATTATTACTGATCATTAGATAAAACTCCACAAACAGTATGGAATACGAATAATCAGTCACTTGATATTGTGCACTTTGTCATAGAAGACATCCTTGATGGTGTTTACCAGCATCGGGTTAAATAACATAAACTTTAAATTTCACATTAATTAATAGATTTAGATTTATTCCTAATTAAGCAACAGACATGACAATATTAGAAAAATTATTCAAACAGAAATATCCATGGTACCTCTTTGTGTTAGAAGAACCATTGCACTTAAATAGCTTTATAAATTCAGAGAATTTAACTAAACAAAATAAGCTGCATTTTACTTCAAAATTGAAAAAAAATTAATTTCTATATAAAACGCCATATAGCTTTTATTTGAATTTGAAAACTTAACATTTCTAATTAAAATTAAGTAAAATTTTATAAATAAGAATTATCAAATTGATTTAATATTAGTTTGCATACTGTACTTAACTTTACTAATTAGGTAAAAAAATCTAAATCAGAATTCTCAAATTAAACTAATCAACTAGGTACATGTATTTAAAATGCTTTGCAGCAGGGAGAATCTAAAATCGAGAAAATGGTAATGTATCATAAAAGAAGTGAGTAATAATGTTGTTTTTATTTGTGTGTGTTTTTATCTGTAACAAGGCGACAGACAGTTTAGGAGGAACAGTGTTACACTAAGAGATACAATAATCTGACAATCTCTATATTTGGCACGAAAGTATTACTACAAATCGTATTATCGATCTTACGTTAATTTATACCATAGATTTATTATTGATAATTACAAAGAACGTTGGGTTTCAGTAATTTGTTTGGTTATATCAGATGATTTTATAAGTAACGATGCCAGTGAACTCGGCTCTAACTTTTTCTAGCGAAAACACACAAGGCTAATAGCCATCAAAGACTATTTGCTCAACAACTAGGATTATTGTGGATTTTGACGGATCGCATTGTTTACATTCGTGTTCTTTTATGAAGAAGGAATAAAGCTGATATTAAGTTCCCTAATTATAGGAATAATTGTAGTTACCCAAACTGATGGACATAAAAATTTCACATGAAATAACGGAAATTTAAAAATATATATATTTTTGCCCGTTTCAATATGACAAACAATGTAAAAAGATGTCCATCTACTGTAGCATGAAAGAGCAAATTCAAAATTAAAACAAAAGTTTAGTATATCGTGGTGTAGAAAACATGTACAATCATAGCAGTGTGTGTCAGTTCTTTATTTTCATTACTTGCAGGTTCCACAGATTCAGTGGATGAAACACACGCCAGAGTGAGGCGAGGTGGACTGAGCATGCTCAGACTTGGGCGCGGACTTCAAATGTTACGATTGGGGAAGCGGGGGATGCCGATGCTTAGATTAGGTCGTTCTAATGGACTGAGTGACTCAGACGAAGAGGACTTTATGTACCCCGAGGAAACAGAATTAGTGGACGGACGAAGACAGGTTCCTCTGCCAAGATATGGCAAAGATCTGCAGCAGCAACTGGAACTCAATGACTTGTTAAAGAGTATGTTTATGGATACTAACGGTGTCAGGATTATTCGCCCCGCTGGTCGTCCAGGACGTTTCAGGAGATCGCTGAAACAGGACGATAGCGCAGAAAAAGATAGTCAAGAAAGAACCATACCACAGCCCCGCATTGGTCGCTTGCTTCCGTCAAAGTTTGATGGATATTATTTAACCGATTCTGAAGTATTTACTGATAAACGAGGAATGCCCATGTTACGACTTGGTCGCGGTATGCCCATGCTTCGTTTAGGCAAAAGGCTTCAAGGTGATGAATCAAAACGAGGCATGCCAATGTTAAGGCTTGGAAAACGCACAAATTTTCAGGAAGATTCTGCATCACAGCAAGATTCACAGACAAATCAAAATAAGCGAGGAATGCCCATGCTTCGTTTAGGAAGAAATCTAAACTAAATTTAAAGAAAACTTTAATGATAAACCAAAAATATCTCAACTCTTTGCAAGCAAACAAACGGTTCTAACATTCCGAAAACTGTACAAGCAAACAAAACGGGGTTATCTATTTTTAGTACGATGTGTGTAAAGATGTTTATTTTTTCAGTTTTAACTTAATGTTAAAATAATCAATGATTTATTAAATTACTGTCGCAATTATCAAGTATTATTTTTATGACTGTTTAAAATATAGAACTCTGTGATCATTATTAATTTATTTTGATTCATTTTGTATACATGATTAAAGGTGTTGATAAAAAAAATTCTATGGCTGGTATTCTATTTTCACTGGATTGATAAGAGTTATTGTGTGTAGTTACAATCTTGATTTGTTGATGATAGAAAAAGCGGCAAAAATTGATAAAAGTATCCATTTAATGGTACAATAAAAAAAAAATGATATTGCATACACCATAAAGCATGTAAAGGTAAATGTTACTTACCTAAGATCCAGAAATGCAGGATAATTTACGCTTCTTTAGATCTTTGTACCTGAAAAAAATAATGCTCAATAAGTGCAATTAATAGGAAATACAAAGCATACTTCAAAAAAATAACAGCAGAAATACTAGTATTCTGGAAAATCTTTATAAAATAGAGCAATATATTCATATGAGAACCATGAGATCATTAACAATTAAAGGCTGTCAACATTTCACTACTCTGATATTTTGACACTGTGTTTTCTAGGTATTATTCTGTTAATCCGAACATGACAAGGAGCACACAGCGTGGGTGACCCAATACTTACTCCTCTATGGCAGCTGATCCCCACCTTTATTTTCAGGTGTCCGTTTTATATTTAGTTCATAATTTGTATCGTTTAAATTTTAATTACCTTTGAAAATTATCGCTATCTCCACACTTTATCTATATGACATTGACTTTTTACCAATCATTTTGAGTAAAGAATTAGCTAAATTCTATACAAATGAGATATTGAAAAACACAAAAAAGTCATTTAATATTAGTTTACGAAAAATTATAAATAAGCAAACTTAAATAAATAAATCAACTAACAAAAAAAGCTAAAAATATACAAACAAAACAGAAAATCTGTTGTTGCTACAATGAAATTGTATTCCAGCCATATGACGCAGAAATACTCTTTAACTACCAATTTTCTAAAACATACAATTATTTGGCCATATAATGAAAACACTAACAGAGAGGACTGGGTGAGATAGTGCGAATCGTGTCATTTCTACAACTTAATTAAATTCATTTGACAATCACCTTGCCTTGGATATTGTAAAACCGTGCAACTTAAAACCAGTATTCTATGCATTCTAAGACAATTGAAATAATTGGATGTCATTGTGCTTTTAAAATAGGGCGACAGGAAATGAGGTTGTTTGTTGTTTTGTCCAATGGGCTTTCTCCAGTCTATATTTGTCTTGCAACGAACAATTTTCGTTGCTTTGATGATTCAGTTAACATTGACGTTTCTTCTACAAATTAAAAATTGATACAAAAATTTTACCGATTTCCAAACCGTTTTTACCCAAACAGCATTAATATCAGATGAAGACTGTCTCTTCAGCGTTTATTCTTATTTTTTACAGTGTTTCCTCAAACATCTAAGATGGATATATTAGATAGTTATATGAATTTATTATTCTCAGATGTCTGTTATAACAAAGATTGTATGTGCAATTTATAGAAGCAAATTCTATTTGCATGGGACCTTGTTTCAGTGTAAAAAAAACAGTGCAAACATCAAGGTTTCAGATGTTATATGGCGTCAGAAGTTCTCGAGTAAGCGCCCTCTTCGTCCCCCTAAACTGAATGAAATTTCTAAATGTATGCTGAAGCTGATTTTTATATAGCTAATTCAATGTTCTATAATGAATTGTTCGAACCCGATCGGAAGATGAACTTGCCACAAGCAAGCTTCCTACATCTTTTTTTCGGATGTAGTACATGCAAGACCACCAGTAATGGTACAATGTCAAAATTAATTATATTGCTTGTAGCAAACTGTATCGAAATATACCAATACAAACTGTGCACATTCTTCTAATTAACGGCAAAGAAATAAAAGTGGTAAATTTAATAGTTATGGTCTGTGTCAGCTAATACTGAACCATGAATAAAACATGAAGGTCAATGTTTCTTTAAATTGACTCTTGGCTAAGGATTCTATATTCAGTGATCGATTTTAAATTTTGTACAACAATTTTACTACATGTTATTATTCAATTGCTTTATATTTAGTCACAAAATTTGAAGAAATAGATATCCTACGAGTGTAAAACTTCAGTTCTTATACATAGCAAGAAATTAGATGGATAGTAAATCAATTGGATTTCATTTCTGTTCTCAAAATTGTCTTCGAAATTACATTACACTAAATCGCAGATCGTATCACGAAATACGAAATTGAATAAAGCATAATAGGGGTGAAGTTAAGCCAAAAAATATTTCCAAAGAAAATTTGAAAATCAAATCTTCAATTGGCAGCAACAGGGAAGTTTGGTCATATCTATTTTTTTTAAAATAAACATAGTCTTCCTATATTGATTAGTTGATACAGATTGCACCAAAAACATAAACAATAAACATCAATTTACGTCCCTTCGATAAATTTTTATTCTGTAAAAGCAACAAAATATGAATGAACATTTATCACTTAAACTGTTGGTATTTTTATGGAGATATTTCAACAAAGGGTTTCTTTCCCTAGCATAAGAAGATTATACATAAATAATAGCCTAAATTCATGGGGAGGTGTATTAATTACGATCCTTGGGGCAGATTATTGTTTCCAAAATAATTCTCAGCTAGAAAGTAACAAGGATATTATTGGAATAACATTTGGTAAGTGTTTTACCCTTTGTGCCTGAAGAGTCGATTGTCGTTCTAATTACAGGTGAATAGGACCAATACAGAGAGAAGACCCCAGTGTTCAGCCAGGGGTAATTCCGGTCCAAACAAAGCCACACTTTTCATCAAACGGTTCCGTAAGACCCATTAAACCTCGTTATACCACCACAATCGATGGGACAGTAATATTACTTAATCGCTGGCCATATTCTCGGCGCGAACATCGGGTGAAAAATGTATCGGAACCCTTTTGCATGGTCACTAATAACTTTGATGGTATTAAGCAGATATTGAAGAAAAGTGTTCCGACGCACTGGGGATGGCCATCAAGAAAATAAAAACCCGGACGTTGTCACTTCCGGTTCTTTAATATTTATAACTCAATTTTTGTATCCGAGTTGCAGACCCATCACGCCCAAGAATCAAGCTTTTATCGGCCATTAATGGTGTTCACAACTACCTAGTTTTCAAACGTAAATAACCCACGCTCTATCTGACTGTCCATACATCAACACTTTAATGGTTGAATTTTCACCGTAGTTTTTTTTTTATATTTGCGAAGAAGTGAGTGATGAATCAAGAATTTGCGAAAATCTGTATTATGGGTCACTTTGGAATTATAGGGTTATTCTTTGTTGGTTTTACTTAAAGTACAATTAATGTGCTGTAAACCTAATTAAATATTTTGGCGAACGTAGATTAAAAAATATTAAAGTTACGGTATATGTACTGTAACAACCGTATCCAAATGGGTAATTGAATCTCCGAAAGCTTAGCAAAGAAACTTTCTTTTAAGTAACTAATTTAATTATATGATAATGTCATTGAACAGAAATCTAGAATCTGGTTGTGAATCCTGAATCTTCCGATATTCTTCAGCTATGCTATAAAATTGGTAACATTTCTATGACTGCTCATCTGGTAATTGAAGGAGTGAAATATTTGGAGATAACGAACACTATTCAAGCTCAAAAGTCCATAAAACAATACAAAATAGAGCAAAAACGCACCTCCAAAACATCATAGGTGGGATCAGGTTTCATGGAGAAGTTAGCATCCCCTGCCCACCGGCCGTGTGCTCCTTGTCATGATCGAGAAATAACGGAAAAATCCGTCGTCAATTCAGTTTGTAAATAATGGACTAACAATTAATTTGTTTGAAAAACGTCAGTCAGCAATTTGACTCAATGCTATATTGTATTTGCTGACAAGGTCAATGTATCGACCATAGAACTTACGAAATGATGACTTTAAACAAAAATGCTGATATTCTTGTTTCATCAACTTGTTTGATAATAATTTAACTCGTTTTTGAACATCCGAAGAGCATGCTCTTGCGTATCGAATCAACTGAGAGATTTAAACTCTGTGTAGTTGATGAAGGTATATTGCTGCATAAGTAAGGGAAACTGACGATAGAAAAGTTATAAAGTTATCACGTTTATCATAGAGCTTGGTTGTTAAATTATTATTAACGTCTTTTTTCAAGTAACATAACAAAATATGAAACAGACTTATCAGACTTTATGGTATCCTTTATCTCAAGCTCACCGGGAGATATCGTAGCGACATAAGAATTAAAATAACCATTGTCAATTGACAATACGTCGTCGATATAATTATCTAAATGTCGAGTTGAAAGCACAAGCAAGTGTTTTCTTCTTTTCATGTATAAAATTTTGAACAAAGTCCTCATCATATGAATACAAAAATAAGTCTGCTAATAACGGGACGAATGGGAATTCCAACAGATAATAGGGAGACATGGTCTCCAGAAACCACATAGATATTGTCAATCAGAAACTCAAGCATCTCTTTGATGTCAACTTTAGAGTACTTATGTGTACAATCAGAATGTTTTTAACATAATAATTTTGAGCTTGGTTATTAAATTACCACTAACGTCTTTTTACAAGTAAGTGTATACAGTTGAAAAGTCGTAATTTTTAAAGCTGTTGATTTAGTTACAGTCTTTTGATTTCAAATTGTCTAAAGGTCCCTTGGAATTTTTAAATATCCACATCTGACTTACACCACTTATTGAATATATGTTTACACAGTACTCCTGAGGTTTCTCCTTCACTACTGTTAATATCTTAGTGAGAAGTAAAGAAAGAGGCTTGGTTGAACATTTACTGGAACCCGCTATATATCTTTCTTGTAAGGATTTTTTTTTATTAAATTTTGGAATCCAATATAGATATGGTAATTCAAATTCATTTTGGTTGTTTGGAAGCTATTCTTTATTGTGAAGAGTTTTATAATACGGTTAATATATGAGCAAAAAAAATGTTATTTCTTATAAGTGTCCTTAACTCGCACCACATTCTTTA